CAGATGAAATAGTCAGTGCAAGTGAGGTCTGGACATGTTGCTGGCCAATGCACATGACCATCCTGCCGATACAATTTTAGGATACATTACATTCAAGTAGAGAAGCACATCAAAGCTGTAATGTAAAGGACGTTCATCATGTTGAAACCATAATAAACATGTTTACTCAACCTTCTCGTGTTCTTCTTTTTTCGTCTTTTGTTTCATTTCTACCTTTCCAGGAAAGCAATGCAATGTTTACGACCATGCAATGTTATATGATTTTCCAACGTTTAGGCCTACTCTGTATCTCCTGAGAGTTTGTAACCGAATTGCTGAAACGCCCTACATTTTGCCTGCGAGAAGCTTTTAGTTAAAACTATTTAAACATTTCAGTCTCAATAGCGGGATAATTTGCGGCAGCAAATCAGTTGCGAGAGTTTGGTGATTGTAGTCAAAGATACTAGGTAAATATTTAACGGTTTTTAATTCATAAATTTTGCAATTTTGGATCGGCAAAAATTTTTACAACTTCTAAAAACTCCTTCTCTTTCTTAGTTGACAGCATTTATTTATATGGATTAATGAAGTACATGCAAGTATCATTTACTGATTCAATACATCATTAAAATAAAAATACTTTAAGATAATATATAAATAAATTTAAGTGAAAAAGATATAAATTTAGGTGTTATGTGTAATGAATTATTTGAATATGTTAGTTGAATTAAAAGAACATTTTCATTTTGTTTACTTTTGTGCAGATAATAGCTGCAATCATAATAAAATAACTTTTTTTGAAAAAATATTTTCACATAATCCTACATTTGCAGTTGAGTATCCTTCGGTTACTCTGAAAAATCTCTCAAAATTTTAGAACTTTAACTTCTTTCGCCTATTTTAGAATAATTAGCGAAGGCTAATGGTATGTTTTGCGTTATTTGAAGTTATCATTGAAGGAAAAGAATCGATTTTAATAGTATCAGGAGATTGCAAATGACGCTGTCAGAATCTGGCTTTTAAATTTTAGTATTGGAAAAGATTCATAACACAGTACATGTGATAAATGTACCTCAGACGAAACAAATACATTACAGTTTCGAAAAGCATGAAATATTCCTACGCAATGAAAAGACTTTATCCCTCTTTGTTGATTTAACTTTTAAGAATTACACAATTATACGCGCAATAATAATTTGAAACAAAATATTTTAATCCCTCTCCGTTTTTATTTGACTTACGATTGTTCATAAATATATCAAGGCTATTTAATATAAATTTTGAATTTTTTGAAAGAAGCACAGATTCAAATTTGTTAAATCTTAATCAGAACACTTTTAATAAATATTTAAACGGTATTAAAGGCTTAAGCATGTCATTTAATAACGATGTTTAAAAATACCCATCTTTGAAATGAAACCTTCATTTTTATTAGCATAAAATATCCACATGCTCCGCTTCGTAATGTCTTTCTTGTTATAAAATTAGCCTTTTTGCTTTCTATAAAAGTAGAGTACTTATCATTTACAGCATTTATATCAATATTACGAAAATAAAACTGATATAGGATATCCCTACCTTAAATGTAAATATTAATATTTCAGCTACTTTAATTAAACCTTCAAAAAATATAATTCTTTCATCTTTTACGTTGCTAATTAATTGTTTTATGAAATTAAATTCATTTTATCTAATACTTCATTAAATCTGAATATTAAATTATTTGGCAGGATAAAAAAGAACAGCTGTTAAACATACGTAGTAAATTAGTGAAATCCGCAGACTTCTTTACGTAAAAGTTTAATTATGTTTCTAATTAATTTTTAGAAGCTTCATCCTTTATTTTTACTTCCTTGTACGAATTAAAAAGGAAATATTGTAATCGTGAAAAGTTTCAGGCAGCATATTTCAACGAAGATATCCATTTTGACCGCTATCGAATGCAATTTAACCATGTCTTTGCTTGACATCGGTACGTAAGAACATAATAAAACACTCTTTTTTTCTCCAAAAGAATTATAAAACTGATTTAAAATGAATTCTGAAGAGAATTTTTCGTGTCGTCTGTGCGTATGTACGTATGTACGTACGTATCTCGCATAACTCAAACACAAGAAGCCTCAGAACGTTGGAATTTTGTATGTAAGACTGCTATCCCATGTAGATGTGAGCCTCGTACTTTGGTTGCAATCGCCTGCACCAAAGTATATAAATATATGTATATATATATATATATCTACTCCCTTACTCGGCTCAGTGAGCTCAGTTTCTTTATTCTTATATGCTTGTAAATTGTGCATTTTTTCCTTTAAAAATGATTTAATTTTGTTGTTGTTATCTTCCGGTTAAGGCTTTTATGCCATTACTAAATCTGCAAGCAATATTTGTACAATTATCAACCATTTAAAAGATGTTTAAGTGCGGTTAAGCCTAATGTTTAGATAACACGGCTGACATATTTGTTTACATTTGAAACAGTAGAATAGTAGATTTGTTGCCAATCTAGAGAGACTAAGCTTCGCAACATCAAAGATAACGCCTTCATTTATTATTGCGAATCAAATCAGGCGTAATCCTTTTTGGAATATTTTTGAGGAAATAAGTGTTTAGGATTTACTTGGTAAATTTAATGTAGATATTTTGAATTTTTATGTATTTTTGGCTTGTCACGAAGTGAGAACTGAATGAATTGAATGAGAAATACTAAATAGTCTGTGAGCAACTGTTTCGTTTTAGTTTTGTTTGATAATTTCTTTTATATGTCATTCTAGTTTTGTTATAGTATTTGAATAGAACATGTGGCAACGATTAGATAATTCTTCAAATCATATAAATTTTGTGCATTCTGAATTATAATATGAACGAAATATGACACTGCTAAGTAAACCTAGCGCCAGAGTGTCGCTATAGTAAAACCAAATATAGTGAATTTTGAAGAGTGCATTTATTCTATTGTGGTTTATGCGCTATCGACGAAGTAGATTTAATTCAATCCAATAAGTTTAAATGAAATGCAAGAAAAATGCGTATAATTTAATATTCCATACAAGGAAGTCGTGTGTTGTACACATGAGATTTTTATTTACTTACGGCGATCAACACTCAAATTACACTTCCTCTAAAGTAAAGAAAAATAAAATGAAAAGACAGGAATAAATAAAAAAGGCATCCAATTAAACAAAGAGTCATAATATGTTTAGTAATTACAGCAAGTTTGTCTCACCGCCGATAGAACATATTCTTTGATGTTAAAACGCTAATATAAATCTAGAGAATCAGATTTGTTTCAGTATGAATGCAGTGAGCCCTAGGAGAAAGATAAAATTACGAATTTTTTTTTTCCTAATTGTGTGGATGGATTACTTCATTACAAAAGGAAAGGGGGCATGGAGGGATCTCTCCTTTACTTTATATAATTTATATCAAGAATACTGTGGATGAGGAAATTCGAGACTTGTTCCTTCTGTTCTGCCATTAATCCATATAGACTTTCTCTCGAAACATTTATAGACTTTGTTTTGCAGTATTTATATCTATATTAATTTTTTTCATTTTTATCTACATTTCATTTTCAGTCCGTTCCGTCTGAATAACTACAACGAGTGTTGATAATTATTTAAAAGTACTATACCTTCAAGATTAAGGTTTAATTAGCCTCAGCGGTATTTTGTATTTATTACTAATCAGTAATTCTATAGAGCTGTATTTAAGCATTGTTTATACAGTTAAGTATTTGTTACTATAGTTAATTGGTATTTTGATTAAATGTCCAGTCAGCCTTCGACGGTTAAAATATAATGATATTCGATTTTTTGCATTTGTAAGGTATATCTTATTTTATAACAGTTATTTTAAGTTCATACCCTTTTCCTATCTATTCTAGATTACAATTAATTACCAGAACGAGTATTTAGAATCGCGTTAAATGCAAATGAGAGGCAGAGTAGTATTCCATTGACTTCCAGAGAGAAAATTGGGATTCCTGAACAGCGCGCGTTTGTCATTTGACTAAGTCTCTTTAACTGTTACTACGCTCGGCCGCATTAATTGGTATTTTGATTAAATGTCCAGTCAGCCTTCAACGGTTAAAATATAATGATATTCGATTTTTTGCATTTGTAAGGTATATCTTATTTTATAACAGTTATTTTAAGTTCATACCCTTTTCCTATCTATTCTAGATTACGATTAATTACCAGAACGAGTATTTAGAATCGCGTTAAATGCAAATGAGAGGCAGAGGAGTATTCCACTGGCTTCCAGAGAGAAAATTGGGATTCCTGAACAGCGCGCGTTTGTCATTTGACTACGTCTCTTTAACTGTTACTACGCTCGGCCGTATTACGTGCCCTTGATAGCTTCGCTAGCTAATTTAATATTATGAGCCAATTAGTTTAGAATTTTTGTTAGCTTCAGCTAAACCGCTTTAGTTAATCATTTGTTAGTTCTTATTTCCTTAACTTAAGTTTAAGCCCAACTGGAGTCTTTTGTTGTAGAAAAAGGTCATCTGTGAAGTTTTATTTTGAGCAAAAAAAGATAATTAACCCTTCCTGAGTTTACGTTTCTGTTCTTGGACTAAGAGATTTTTCCCCTAGTAGTTTACTAGGTTCCTCAACGCTTAGTTAATAGATATAAATGGGAATATTGCATATTGATGTCCATTTTGAGAATCTATTCAAATACATAAAACAAAAGCATATCAGTTTAAAATATAAGATTAAGCCAAATTCAATTTAAATGTATAAATGTATCCTAAGATTGAACTCTTAGGGTTATGTGAAATTAGATAGACAATAAATATCTCAGCGTCAATGAGAAATTTCGTGTATACATTTCTCCGTATAGTACACTAAAGTAACTTAGTCAAGCTTTGTCCTAACTTCTCTATATTTATCCATGACTAGAACGTGGATCAGATAACTCATTTCTCCTCACCAAATATCACGCTTTATTCCCATAGTAACTCCAGCCACCCGAGACCCGATATTAAATGCAAATATGGAATATTCAAATTCACTTACATATATTCATGATCGCTCTCTGTAGATGGACCATCCGGCCACTCCATATAGCATATGACTCTGTGGTCCCCATTAACGAAGGTTTCAATACTGGTCACAGAGTATAAGAGATTAGGGAAAGACAGAATGACGCTAAGGATCCAAATCCATACCGTTATGTTGAGAGTAGTCGTCCTCGACATACGAGGTTTCAGTGGGTGCATTATGGCCATATATCTACAAAGAAACGTAAAACAAATGATTTAGTAAATATGATTTGAGTATAACGAACATAAATACTATAATTTGAGCTATGACTTTAATTTGAACACGAATAAATGTATGTGCAATTACAGGCATAGAAGGAGACACATATATTTATATCCGTCATAAAAGAGTTAAGCTCTTTTATTAATAAACATACCCGAAAGTTATATAATAATTCGTTTTTAGATTGACGAGAGTAATTTTAGATTTTACTTGATAGTCGTGACTTTAAAGTGTGGTACAGCATGGGAAATATAACAATAGCACAGTGTTAAGTAAATCGTGAAACAGGCGTGCTGAAACGCGGCATGCACGAAGAACGCATGAAAAACGAAAAGTTACGTTGATCAAGCAAAAAAATATTATTTGATTTACAAGAAATAATGTTTGATAATAACAACAGAACTGTTAAAATGAAAGACCACATATACACGGGACAGCATCTGTATAATGTTGCACAGAAATAAATGGCTGATTGACCTGAAAACCCTGTCTATGGGCTTTTGTTGGTGACAGGTGAGAGCAGATCCTGACGCCCGGGCTGCTTACTAGGACTGTTCGGGTATTGCCCGGAATCGCAACTATACAACGCGAGAACTCTTTGGCGTCCATACCCGAGTATAAGTCGAGATATTTTTGACAAAAAAAAAAAAAAAAAAAGACTTCAAAAATGGGGGTCGACATATACGCGGGGCCATAAAAAATTAAAAGAATCGGAAGTTCAAAAATTTCTTTATATAATGCAGTTGTTTTCTTCCCGCATTCAAATTGGACGACTTATCAAATAAGTCACTTACTTGAAGTAATTTCATGACTTAAATTATGTGACGAACTAATCACAGAGTTTCATACTTTAACTAGAGTAAGTTTCGATTAAACCAAGGAATTCTCGGCCCCCGAACAACCGATCAATTGGCTCGCGATTAGCGCAAGAATAAAGTACAGTTACAAAAAATCCCGAAATCGAAAAAGGCGTCGCGACATGGAAAAGCTCCTTTTCCAGAACTCGAAAATGACTATGCTTGGGTTTTAGAGTGTCGGCAGAATGGTTTCATTGTCACTAGAACTGGCATACGTTTACGAGCAATGAAGCTTGCAAAAAAAAAAAAAAAGTATGGTGTTCCAAACACGTTTCGTGCATCAACACATTGGCGCACTAAATTTATGAATCGCCATGGTTTGTGTTTACGCCAACACACCAAACTGGCGCAAAAGTTACCATCTGATTTGGAATCAAAGGTTATGGAGTTTCAAAAATACATTATCGATGTGGCAGAGTGGATTAGTTCCGGTCGACCAACATTTACAAAGGGAGGCAACATTGAAAAGCCCGATATTACATTAATTGCTAAGTGGGTTAAAGATACTTGGAACGAAATACCATCTGAAATGATTATAAAATCATTTAAAAAATGTTGTATTAGCAACGAACTAGACTGCACGGAAGATGATGCTGTTTTTGAAAGTGAAAATTACGACGAAGGCTCTAGTATAGTGATTGTAACAATACAGAGTTCGAGACTGAAAATATGTATGATGACGAGCCAATGACGACAGAAGAGTTCTATGAGATGTTTGATAAATCGGACGTTGAAGGATTTTGATTTTGTTTATTTACCAAGGTATTTTTTAACGTATATTTACTTTTTTTCTCAGATGATTTTGAATAAATGTAGTACTTAAAAATTTTTTTCGAAGTTTCTCGATCGATTTCGGAAGTGGGGGGGTCGACTTACACGCGGGTTTCTTATTTTCTACGAATTTTTTATGTCGAAGTGGGGGGTCGACTTATACGCGGTATCGACTTATTACGCGGGTATATACGGTATATGTATATATTGAATGAACTGAAATTCTTTGAAATCGAAAAAACTTTTTCTAATACTTGCGCAATGCCTGCAAAGTAAGATATTAATAATTTATTTAATAAAAAATGTTGATTATATTATCCCCTAATATAAATTTAGTAGAATGTATAAAAATTAGCTATATATATTTTACATATGTAGTTGCTGTGGATATGTTAGTTACTTCAGAGTATTCATGTGCAGAGTTCCATCATACACACACTAAATAGCTCACTAGCATGCCGCACAAGAGCATTAGTACTCCGGTAAGACAGTTAGAGCTGAAGATTGGGCAGGAATCAGTAGTGTACTAGGAGACATGACAAAGGTCCTGTCCCAAAGACTGCAATTTTTGCATTATAAAGTTTAAGTTTTCTCAGTAGAGCAGGCTGCTTAATGAAGAAGCACATGAATGGTTGGCTTTGTTTGGGTAAGTCGTTAATAATTTTTCGCTAGGGTGACAAAACGGCTTGAAGGATTATAGCACATCCAGTTTGCGGTGAACGAAAATGAAAGCTCACCAATTGATGCATCCCAAAGATGACGAAATCAGTATCATACACTTTGGAAGAGGCTCGACGTGTGATGTAATTGCAGATAATAGCAGCGGCAAAGTTAATTTTGACAACGCGATCTTCGGGCAATATAAGTCTCATAAATGAGTATATGGCATCAGTCGCCGTTGTTATGAATGTACTGTTATAAGAGATTTTCTCCGTCCTTCAAGCATGCCTTCGTATAAGGTTATTTTCTCCCTCCTTTCTGCATGCTTTCGGGGTGTAATGGTAACCCACTCGGCGCATACTAGAGAGGTCCGGCTTAAAATCACGGCAGGAGCACTGCTCATTGTTCATGTCTCCTGCTTCAAAATAATAACCTAATGATACTATAGTGGCGTCAGAACTAAAGGTGGTGGTAAATGATGAGCCTTCACCACCATATTTGGCGATTGGGTCCCCTAATCCTCAGTCGCCCTTTAAAAGAGGTATATAAAGTAGGTTCTCCCTCCTTTCTGTATGCCTTCGGGTTGCAATGGTGTACATACATTAGGTATTTTTTGGAAGCAGAAAAAATGAAAAATTAACTAACCTTTGCCGGAAATCGAACCGCGGACCTCTGGAATACTGGTTCAGTGTGCAGACCACCACACCACGAAGACTCGCCAAGAAAGTGGGAGAAATACCTTATAACGGTAACACACTCAAGGCGTATTCGACAGGTCCAGGTTCGAGTTCCGGCGAGGACATTGCTCATTTTTCACTTCTATAGCATCAAAATAACCTAATGATTTCAAAGTATTTGCTGATCACTCATTTGGCCACCTCTTATAAATAACATACACTATTCCTTTTAAATATGCATGCATAACGCAAACTTTCATCTCTCATGTTTTTGGTATTAACTTTGCTTTTACATTCTCATTCCCATTTCCACTCACACAATGAACAGAGTCACATATGGCATGTTCTGTCATACTTAAAGTTGTGACCATCAGTTCTGTTATATCCTGTATTTTAGTTATAAAATTCGGTGTTCTTTTTTATAAACGATATAGTCACACCAGAAGAAACTTTACACTTTTTTTTGAACAGGCAACAATTGCTTTCTTTTCCTTTTTAGATGCTTCGTATAGTAGAGATAACACTTTTCCTTCATTCTCTGGTTGTACTTAACCACTCATCCGTTTTGAAAGCTTCAATGAGTTTCATTGTAGTGTTTCTGAGATTTAAAACTTTGCTTAATTTTTAAATTCCCCCCCTTTTTTTATAGGATTAGTATTTTAGCATCGCTTTAGTTCTGAAATTCAAGGAAATTACAAATCGTATTGTCTTCTTACGGAGAAGATGAAAAGGATCTTTAATCATCAATAATCAATATACTTAACATCAATTTCCAAATTAAGTGTTCATTTAAGAATATATAACAATCTATTGAAAGCGCAGTGAGATCGACGTCTATGTATGCACTTAAAAATATTGATTATTCTTGTAAAATAAAAATAGCGTCTTTCGAACAGAGTTTCTTAAACTGTGGGTCGCGACCCCCAAGGAGATCGCGGGACCTGCAGCAGAAAGCCGCCAAAAATTATAGCAGTTTTGATATTTAACTTATCATCATAATTTTACAATTACCAAATATGTTTACACAATGTATCTGAAAATAGATAAAGATAAGACAATGGAAATTCTAAAGATATGCTGTTTTTAAATATTTTGTGATTTTGCTGTTAAATCGAATTTTATGTGGCGAAAGTGCAAGGAATATATTATTTAATATATAAAATTAACACAAAAATGTAATAATAAAAAACGACTTCCCAAAAAAGGATTTTGCATTCCATCTTACTAAGAAAACGGAACATTGATTTGATGAACTGAAAAAAAAAATAGAAAATGTTTGCCAACGCTTAACATTGCATAGTGTCTAAACATATGCTGCTATGCTCTTTATAAAATTTTTGTGATTTTGCTGTTGAATTGCATATGGCGAAATGCGAAGAAAATTATTTTTAATAATAAAGCCGAAAACGCAAAAAGAAATGGGTCAGTAGGAGTTACTGCATTGAAAGGCTGCGAGCTCAGCGAGAGCGTAAGAATCCGTGACAAATCCTTTTGAGAAAAAACAAAATATAAAGCTTAACCCTTTCAGAATATTTTAATTGTTATAAAAAATAGTCTGAACATTTTTGTTTAAGTATTATACTATTAATTTTGTCTATAATGTTGCTCTGTCTCAAAATATCTTCACTAGTTTCTGAAAGTTAATTTGAAAAATTAGATCCACAGAATTTATATTGTTGTTAAATGCTACTGAATTATTCTAAATTATCTGAGGTACAAAAGAAAATATTTTATCAAAAGCCTTCAGTAATCATTTTATATCAATCATTTTGAATTGATTTTTATGAATGTATAAAGAAGAGGTTTACGAACAAATAAAACTTTCAGCTTTATGTAACAAGTAAAACTTTCCCTGAAATATCGTAAATGCATGAAATAGCTTAGAAATTTCTGCTTTCTGTTGTCACAGCTATGCGCCTTAGGGGTTTATATCGCCAACTGCCAAATATCTTTCCAAGAGATTTCGAATTCAATATATTTCGTAGTAGACATATGTCCCATG